GCCCGCTCGGGATGCACCGCTCGGGAGTTCCGGGGAAGAGCGCGGATGCCACGCAAAGGCCTCAGACCCTCTTGCGGAAGCCATACAGTTAGCACACGCCAGACCCTCTTGCGCCTCGTTTGGCCGTGTCAGCCAGGGCTCTTTGCATCACGCCTGCCAACCCGCTTCTCTACTGCAATAGCTGTCTTGACAATTGAATTTGGCTTTGGGATTCACCAACAACGATCCCCTATAAAAGCCTGGCAACTCCATCCCTAAAGCAACGCTTCTTGCGGCTTGAAAGGACGCCCGTAGCAAAAATCAACGGAATCATCAAGAAGCTCACGTTGTCCGAGTGTTGCATCATGTTGCATGCAAACGCAGACGCATTATCGCAGCGGACAGTTGGGCCCGTGTAAAGGCTTTACCCGCAAGAAAAATCCGAAGCACCGTGCTCTGATTTTACTCGTCAAAGCCCACAAATACGCTCGAAGTTTTGCCGGGGCCGCGCCCGCAAACAGGCTTGGGATCCCGCTCGGGCCGAGCACAGATGCCGCGCAAAGGCGCTGGTAAGGATGAAAGCAACCACGCTCGGGATCCCGCTCGGGCCAAACCCGTGCCAAGGCGCAGATAAGGACCAACACCGTCACGCTCGAGAGTTTAATGCAACGCGCAGGCGCCTGCAAGGACCAAAGCGGCCAGGCTCGCTAGCCCGCTCGGGATCCCGCTCGGGCCTTGCAAAGGCAAGCGAAGCCACGCTCGGGATCCCGCTCGGGATCCCGCTCGGGATCCCGCTTGGGGCGAACGCGGATGCCACGCAAAGGCGTCACTCTTGCGGAAGCCATACAGTTAGCACACGCCAGACCCTCTTGCACCTCGCTTGGCCGTGTCAGCCAGGACTCTTCGCGTCACGCCTGTCAACCCGCTTCTCTACTGCAATAGCTGTCTTGACAATTGAATTTGGCTTTGGGATTCACAAACAACGGGCCCCTATAAAAGCCTGGCACACCACCCCTAAAGCAATGCTTGTTGCGACTTGAAAGGACGCCCGTAGCAAAAATCAACGGCATCATCAAGAAGCTCACGTTGTCCGAGTGTTGCATCATGTTGCATGCAAACGCAAACGCATTATCGCAGCGGACAGTTGGGCCCGTGTAAATGCTTTACCCGCAAGAAAAAAGACAAGTCCATCATCCTGAAGAAGCACCGTCCTCTGATTTTACTCTTCAAAGCCCACAAATACGCTCGAAGTTTTGCCGGGGCCGCGCCTGCAAACAGGCTTGGGATCCCGCTCGGGCCGAGCACAGATGCCGCACAAAGGCGCTGGTAAGGACCAAAGCAGACACGCTCGGGATCCCGCTCGGGCCAAACCCGTGATAAGGACCAACACCGTCACGCTCGGGAGCCACTCGGGCCAGCTATGGATGCAACAACGCGCAGGCACCTGCAAGGACCAGCGGCCAGGCTCGCCTGCCCGCTCGGGATCCCGCTCGGCGCGAGCACGGGTGACACGCAAGGAAAAAGCAAAGGCAAGCGAAGCCACGCTCGGGATCCCGCTCGGGATCCCGCTCGGGGCTGACACGCAAAGGCGTCACTCTTGCGGAAGCCATACAGTTAGCACACGCCAGACCCTCTTGCGCCTCGTTTGGCCGTGTCAGCCAGGGCTCTTTGCATCACGCCTGCCAACCCGCTTCTCTACTGCAATAGCTGTCTTGACAATGGAATTTGGCTTTGGGATTCACAAACAACGGGCCCCTATAAAAGCCTGGCAACTCCACCCCTGAAGCAATGCTTCTTGCGACTTGAAAGGACGCCCGTAGCACACATCAACGACATCATGAAGCTCGCGTTGTCCGAGTGTTGCATCATGTTGCATCCAAACGCAAGCGCATTATCGCAGCGGACAGTTGGGCCCGTGTCAAAGCTTTACCCGCAAGAAAAATCCGAAGCAACGTGCTCTGATTTTACTCTTCAAAGCCCACAAATACGCTCGAAGTCTTGCCGGGGCCGCGCCCGCAAACAGGCTTGGGATCCCGCTCGGGCCGAGCACAGATGCCGCGCAAAGGCGCTGGTAAGGATCAAAGCAACCACGCTCGGGATCCCGCTCGGGCCAAACCCGTGCCAAGGCGCAGATAAGGACCAACACCGTCACGCTCGAGAGTTTAATGCAACACGCAGGCGCCTGCAAGGACCAAAGCGGCCAGGCTCGCTAGCCCGCTCGGGATCCCGCTCGGGCCTTGCAAAGGCAAGCGAAGCCACGCTCGGGATCCCGCTCGGGATCCCGCTCGGGATCCCGCTCGGGGCGAACGCGGATGCCACGCAAAGGCGTCACTATTGCGGAAGCCATACAGTTAGCACACGCCAGACCCTCTTGCACCTCGCTTGGCCGTGTCAGCCAGGACTCTTCGCATCACGCTTGCCAGCGCGCTTCTCCTACAATATTTGCCGTTTCCTGCAATGGCGTCTTGATAATTGAATTTGGCTTGGTGATTCACAAACAACGAGCCCCTCAAAGCCTGGCAACTGCACCCCTAAAAGCCTGCTTCTCCACCGCTAAAGCAATGCCTCCTGCGACTTGAAAGCGCGCCCGTAGTACAACGACTGACATTATGAAGAAGCTTGCTTCGTCCGAGTGTTGCATCATGTTGCGCGCAAACGCAAACGCATCACCGTCCCGAACTCAAGCTGGGCTAGGACACAGTGTGGAAGCTCTACCCGCGAGAAAAGACAAGTCCATCATCCTGAAAAAACATCGTGCTCTGGTTTTACTCTGAAAGCCCACAAACACGCTCGAAGCATTGCCGCGCAGAGGGGCTTGGGATCCTGCTCGGGCCGAGCACAGACGCTGCGCAAAGGCGCTGGTGAGGACCAAAACCAGACACAGTCGGGATCCCGCTCTGGCCAAACACGTGCGCCGCGCCAAGGCGCAGATAAGGACCACTCGGGCCAACTACTATGGATGCAACTCGCAGGCGGCTGAAAGGACCAAAACGGCCAGGCTCGCTAGCCCGCTCGGGATCCCACTCGGGGCGAGCACGGGTGCCATGCAAAGGCGTCAGACCCTCTTGCCGAAGCATACAGTTAGCACACGCCAGACCCGCTTGCGCCTCCTTTGGCCGTGTCAGCCAGGAGTGTTCGCATCACGCTTGCCAACGCGCTTCTCCTACAGTTTTTTTGCCAAGCAGACTCGCTCGGGATCCCGCTCGGGCCAAACGCATCAGTCCTGAAAGATCCGCTACCTCGCCACCACCTTGCAACAGCGAGAAGAATCGCCACGCTCGGGAGTCCACTCGGGATGCAACGCGCAGGCGGCTGAAAGGACCAAAACGGCCAGGCTCGCTAGCCAGCTCGGGACCCCGCTCGACCCGGCTACGGATGCCACGCGCAGGGGCCTTGGCGGGCAAACTTAAAACTTTCAGGATCCCGCTCGGGAGAAACGCGGATGCCACGCACAGGCATGTGAGAACGCACGCAAACGCACTTGGGCTTCCGCTTAGGCGAAGCAAGCTTCAAGAATCCGCTCAGGCTGAACTTGTAAGGCCCAACATACGGCCAAACCTCTGACTTACAGTTAGCACATGCCAGACCCTAGCGCCTTCTCAGCTGGTGTCAGCCAGGACTCTTCGGATCATCACGCTTGCCAATGCGCTCCTCCTAACTACAGTCTTTGCCCTTCACTGAAATGGCAACGCAGCAGTTTTAGTGCGTGGCATGCACCCCCATTATTCGGCGAAGGGCGCGCTTCTCCCTTAGGTGCATCCATCGGCGCAACTGCGGCACCCCCCCCCCAGGATGTTTCGAAGTAATGATGATTCTGGCATGGCAACCTGCAACAGCACCCTGCGCAACTCTGCAGCACCCTGCGCAGCTCTGAGTCTCGTCCTGCCTTCCTTCCTTCCTTCCTTCCTTCCTTCCTTCCTTCCTTCCTTCCTTCCTTCCTTCCTTCCTTCCTTCCTTCCTGCTTCCTTTGCTTCTTTTGCTTCCTTTGCTTCCTTTGCTTCCTTTGCTTCCTTTGCGTCTTTTGCTTCCTTTGCTTCCTTTGCTTCCTTTGCTTCCTTTGCTTCCTTTGCTTCCTTTGCTTCCCTTGCTTCCCTTGCTTCCCTTGCTTCCCTTGCTTCCCTTGCTTCCTTGCTTCCTTGCTTCCTTGCTTCCTTGCTTCCTTGCTTCTTGCTTCCTTGCTTCCTTGCTTCCTTGCTTCCTTGCTTCCTTGCTTCCTTGCTTCCTTGCTTCCTTGCTTCCTTGCTTCCTTGCTTCCTTGCTTCCTTGCTTCCTTGCTTCCTTGCTTCCTTGCTTCCTTGCTTCCTTCCTTCCTTCCTTCCTTCCTTCCTTCCTTCCCTTCGCTTCCGTGCTTCCGTGCTTCCTTCCGTCCTTCCTTCCAATGCCCATGTAAAGCTATTTTGATGCCAAGCCTTATTTCAAAGACCTTGAACAATCCGACTGCCAGACTAGTTGGAGTGCTAACTGTTGGGCCTCAACCACGGCTTGGGAAAAAAACGCTGCGCAAGCGCCCAAACAGTTAGCACTCAACGTTGGAATGCCGTGTGCTAACTGATTGATACCCACTATAATTAAAACGGAGTGCGCCCGCACCAACAAACGTTGGGACATATCTCAAATCCAGGGCATTTCGTGGTCAAACATGCTTTCAACCCCCACAATTCGACGTTTACTGTTTGTTTCCACCCCCCCAGAAAAACACACCAACAAACCCCCAAAATGGGTGGGTGTTCTTTTTGGCTTCCCGCAAAGAAAAACACCCCCCCCTCCCCACCACCACAACAAACTCAAAAAAAATGGGTGGCTTCCCCAAGAAAACCCCACAACAAAAACTGGGTGTGGCGCAAGTGTTGGTCTTTGTTTCCATTTACCTCCACTTGCCTAAGGGCCATTGTGGGTACACTTTTTTTGGGCCACAGCCGCATTGACATGGAACCCCCACCCCCCCCACCAAAATAAGAAAGAATTGGGTGGTTTCCCCAAGACACCACCCAAAACCTGGACCCCCATCTCTCGCTTCTTTCCTCCGGCTCCGCGTCCGGCGCCGGCTCTCCGCCAAAGCACTCATACGCCCGGCCCGGCATCGCTTTCTGGGCCGAGCGAGCTGCGGGGAACCCACGCAGCCATGGCTCGAAAAACCGACAACTGGAACCCGACTCGAATAGGGATCTCTCCACCCGCAGTAGAGGTGTGGCATATATATATATATATATACATATGTATATATATATATATGGCTGCGGCTCAAAAAACCGGTACCAAACTGGAAGCCTGGTAAGTGGAAACATGGACCGAAACCTGCGGCTTGCCCCTCCTCTTGAATTTTGAGCCATTGGCAAAAAAATAAATAAATATGTGGACCAAAGGAGGTACTGTACATGGAATTTCGCAGTTGCCCCAGCTTGGTGACGTCGTTTTGAAGGGGACCGCCCCTCTTACCCGGACCCAAGTGAAGCCACATATGGCTATGGCTCAAAAAAGCGGTACCAAACTGGATCCCTGGAGGTGGAAACATGGACCAAAACCTGCCTAACCCCTCCTGTTTAATTTTGAGCCACACCCATATCAAGGAGCAGTTGAGCTTCGCGCTTGCCAGGTCCGTGCCGGCTTTCATCCCAAATGGCAAAGCCGGAGCCCCAAACATAATGGGCTGTCCCGCCCAGAATCCTTTGCGACCACATCACCAGTCATGAGAAGCTCTGAAAGCCCCGCGCGTCTGCCCCGGAGGCGCACTCAACAAAACCGCGAACCCAGGCGACCGGACCTCGAGACCCGGACCTCCCGTAGCAAAGTTGTAAAGCGGTCGGCAGTCAGAGACCCTGGCCAAAAAAAGTCATGGGACTTGCAACTTGCGAATTGAGACTTACCACCCCTGAGGTAAAAACCCTTCATCATGGGACTTACAATCCTTAAGGAAAAACCTGTTCATCATGGGGTAGCTCGCTGTAGGCCCAAGCAGATGGCCCCCCCCCCCTAGTGAAACCCTTCGTCATACTGTGGATGGACGGTTGCGAATTCACCGTGGTGAGAGACTCGCGGAGTTCCATTTCAACCATCCGCAGAACTCATCTGCCCAGGAAGCTTCCCATCGCGCGCCCGTCGCGCCTGGCTCGGGAGGCTCCTGAAAGCCGGGCAGGGGAGGGGAGGTGGGAGCTCAAACCAACCCCAGTCCAATGGGCGGTTTGGAGTGGTGGTTTGCTATTCTGGGCTTTTTGCCCACTTTTTGAGATGATGGGTTGGCTTGTTCAGCATGTTTGGGATTGGGATCGCTTGTTTGGGACTTTTCAAAAAAATAAAAACAAAGATAATTACCCGCGGAGAAAAAGAAAAACGCGGTGGGATTGCTTGTTTGGGACTTTTCTAGAAAATATGTAATTACCCTTGGGGGGAAAACAAACAAACTGGCATGTTCCACATTGGCAAGCAACCGTTGCATGACTGAAATGAATCCAAACGAAAGCCCCCGTGACGTACTGGCAGACACGCTTTAAGCACAACAGACACCTGTTCAATGCAGGTGCCGAGGCGTCTGGTGTAGCCTCAGATCCCGAACATGTTCGCTGGGCTCGGCCAGTTGGCCTGTTGGCCTGTGGATCTCTGGTCAACTGGGCTGTCCGCTGTCTAATCTTCTCAAAGTGCTTGACTTGTGGGTTAAAACCCCCAGCTGGCACCAAAAAAGACATCTAAAAACCTACTGAACCGGATGGCTGAAAACCAGCAAGTAAAACAAAATCCTAAATGACCAAACACGCCTTGGGCAAGCAAAACAACCCCCGCCCTCCCAAAAAAAAGACCATGAAGAAAAAGCCAAGTTGTGCGAAGAAAAAGCCCAAAGTGGCTCAGCAACCACAAAACGTCCGCCTGAAACTCCTGGAGCCCTGGAGGATGTTTTTTCGCGGCTCTCGCGAGGCTGTCCGGCCCGGCTTTGCAGGACCGGCGAGCGCGCGCCAAACCCCGAGATCCAAGGGTCCAAAACCGTGTGGGTGCGTCTCAAAACAACCCAGATGCGTGGCCCGAATCCGGCACCCTCTAACACGACACACCCAGGCAGCTCAAAACCGGTTGGAAGCTTCTTGGGATGGTCTTGAAAGAAAAAGGAAAGAAAGAAAGAAAGAAAGAAAGAAAGAAAGAAAGAAAGAAAGAAAGAAAGCCAGAAAGCAAGAAAGCAAGAAAGCAAGAAAGCAAGAAAGCAAGAAAGCAAGAAAGCAAGAAAGCAAGAAAGCAAGAAAGCAAGAAAGCAAGAAAGCAAGAAAGAAAGAAAGAAGGAAAACAGCCGTTTTGATCAGGGTCTCTCCGTTCAACAAGTGCCCCAACAGATTAGCGAGAAGAATGCTGCCAAAGCATGGTCTGAATAAGCAGGGTTTGGCTGCTCGATGGCTGCATGGCACATGAGCAACAGCACCAGACCTTCGCTACTTGGATTGCCAGGTCAGGCGAATTACTGGCGGATGGACGAAATTCCTGCACCAGTTTGAAACCATGGTTGAAACCATTGTATGTTTGTATTTACAGGGAAATCGAATCGGGTCTCTGAGCAGTGGTGCGAGAAGCAGAATTCGCAACCATCCACAGTAGGTGGTCAGGATGGGCAATTTCCTACAGTGGATGGACGACACTTTGAAACCATGGGAAAACATTGTTAGTTGCTATTTACAGGTGAATCATCATTTCAAGGTTTCTTAGGTGGTGCAGGATTTCGTCCATCCACAGTGTGTTTTCCCAACCGGGAGATAAGGGATCCAATTCCTCATGGACCTTCACCATGTGCTGGGCTCGTTGCCCGAATGATTCCCCAAACAGAAACGTTTCACCATGCCACTGCAAGGCCAGCAAAGGATATAGCCTCATTTCCTGGCTCCCCGACCCGGATATGGGTGCATGTCAGGTACTTTTTGCATAAAGCCACGAATGCTTGCTGCTCACTCTCGAATTCCGCCAATTCCGCCCCAGGGCGAGGCTTTGAGCGAACCCGATCTGCGTGCGCCCGTACTTTTCGCTTCCCTAACAACAAACATATCCCATGTTCCTACATACAGGGTGTCTTCCATTTCCCTTCTTGGAACCTCAGGAAGGCAATGTCCATGGGTTTCCACCAGTAAGTTGCAACCTAAGGGGAAATACTCTCCCCATTGAGTTGTTGTTTTGAAAACAGGCTCTTCCGAAACTGTTCTGTATGAAGTGGCTGTATAACACTGTGTATCCCGTTAATCCAGTGAGCCCCACCAATCTTGAGCCCCTTGCGAAAGCTCTTGGGGGTCAATTAGCCACATGGCCGGGTACAAGTCGGTGCGAATCTCGCACGTTTCATACCTGCCCGTAAGTCCCAGCGCTCACAGAATCTTTGTTTCTTTAACGGGTCATGTTCACACTCTCGGGGGCTGCCGTGCCTGCCACCCTCCCACGAATTGACATGAAACCTGACATGGGGCGCGACCAATTTCCTTTTAAGGGAAGCCCCGAACGACAGGCTCCAGGTGAATTGGTGGGAGGTTGGTCGGTGGCTCAGTCGCAAGTTTGCTTCGCCAAAGGCATGCCACGTGGCCAATGTTTGCAGAACTCCAACAAAGAAGGCCGACTCAGAAGCTCAACGAAAGTACAACGCTCCATGCACCAAAGACTTTACTCATAAGACAGACAATGTCAGAGCACTGGACATAAGTCCCTGAGGAATTCGTCCATATGTTTGTCCAATAAAGGATTGATGTGATGTTTCAAACCCCCAAAGTGTGGCCGTCTTGTTGGCGCGTCTTTCAACCAAACTGAAACAGGCAGCCTCCCAATTAAAGACACACGCATGTGGGGTGGGGGGGAGGTGTGGGGCTCTTAAAAAGCGAGGGTTAGTTTCCTTTTGGCTTCAAGTTGAATATCAACCGAAAGGACCGCATTTGGGTCTCTTTTTTAAGGGGAACCCCCAAAATGCCGCGACTCCCTTGCAAGCCCACAAAGAAAGGGGTACCAACTTTAAAAGAGCAAAAGGGACAACCCCCCCCCTCCCACGCCTCCCGCCCCTCCCACCCCTCCCCCCCTCCCGCCCCTCCCGCCTCCCACCCCTCCCCCCACCCCCCCCTTGTCCATCGGTCCATTCAGAAACCCTGCCCTGAGACCCCATAAGCAGCTGATCCGAGCGGCGGATCCGCGCTAATTCACTCGAAGCCCACCGACTGCTCCTGGGCTCGAGCTGAGGCCAGCTACCCTTTCTTGGATAAGGTTAAAGGAGCAAACAAGAGGAAAACCATCCATTTTGGGGACGCCAACCTTTAAAAAGACACCCAAGAAGGAAAGTGAGGAAACGGTCGCCTTCCTTGGGCTCTTCCTTTGAAACTCGAGCTTTCTCTCTGAGCTTTCTCTCTGAAAACCGCCCAACAAAAACACCCGGTACCCTCCAAAAAATCACCGTGTCTGGCTGCCCCGCTAGGATCTGCCTCACTTGCACGGGCGAGGTGAAGGGATCTCCGGAGATGGATGAAATTCTGTAATGCACAAATCACCTACTGGATCGTGAGAAGAGGGGTGGTTCCCTCATTCTCTGAGAACCAACGCCCAAACCACACTTGCGGAGCCCACGAAGTTCCAACTGCAATCGCTGTTGTTCACAAAATGGACTCTGCGCTTTTTGTGCCATGAGACATCCCTTCCGAGCGCACCACCTGCTGTTGTTGGGGTACCTTTGGCCTTGACATCCATGATAGTGGTACACCGAATCAGGAAACGGGAACGTCTTTTGAGGCTTGGGGTTGTAAAGGCCATGAGCCATCGTCCAAATATGCAGGTACAGCAAAGTACATGTGAAATTGAGTGAGTCTTCTGAAATGTTGGTGGAAATTCTGTGGCTGGTCGGCCCCATATTGACAACCCTTGAAATGCACCATGTCCCCCACCAAACCGGACACATATGGACACATATTTTTTAACCAAAACCAACACAGAGCATAAAAACCAAAGCATATGCCCTCCAATTAACATGGAACCTGACGTTCGGGTGTCCCTGTAAAAGGAAAAAGGTAAAAGGTTCCATGCAAAATTGGTGGGAGATCGAACCGTGTCTTCCATTTGATAAAGTCACTAGGAAAATGGGAAACATAGTTGTCCAGTCGTGAAATCGATTCCTTTAAGAAACCAACCGCGCCAAAATGCGAAACCATCTGAAACGCAAATGGATGTCCATAGCACCATTTATGAACCAACAAAACATGTTCATTCCAACGCAGGGCTGTGGGAAATGACCACTTCTGTGATGCAACAAAAAGGGCTTCCCACGGACAAACCCCCCTTTTTCAATCTGGAGATTCCCTTGTATCACAGAAGTGGTTGGATAAACCCCGAATGATCCACCACAACCCTGTTCCAACGCAAATGGCAGGAGTCCGCCAACCCGTCGCCCCCACTTAGATGGTCTGGGAGGAATCGTTCAATGGCCAGCTTTGCCCTGGTTCTAACCGACCAAAGCTATGGTTGTAAGTCCAACCTGTAGGCAGGGCAAAGCTAGCCATGTGGCTAAGTGCGTCCCAGAATGATGATTCGAGTTAGGCCCAGTTATAGAATGTAGAATTTATTGTTTGCCTCACTTTGAGGCACTGGCAAAATGCAAAATGTATTTAAATGTATCCTAAGTCTACCCCAACCCAACCCCCACGTTGCAGACCCCCCCAAGTATCCTAAGTCTAGACAGAAAACCATCCATCGAGGCGTTGATCGAAGAGCTGATGGATCCAAGACGCTGAGTCCAGCTCCATGGTCACATTGCTGCTGGCCTGGAGCATCCCCAGAGCCCATTTTTGGCTACAGGGGCTGGGAGGGAGGGAGGGAGGGGGTTCCCTAGGTTCCTCTCTATTCAAAAGTCTTACAAAGGGCTTGTCGAACTGTCCGGAAGTCCAACCTCCCCCTCCCCTCCCTCCCCCCCAGCCCCCAGAGGCCCACTTTCAGTCACCAACAACACCCGCCGCCATTTCGCACCACGAAATGAAACCAAGGTTGAAACAGTGGTGTGTTGGTATTTACGTTGGGGAATCATCGTTCTAGGGTTTCTTGGGTGGTGCAGGATGTCGTACATCCACAGTAGGATTGATATATACCAGGAAGCAAAACCGAGTGGCATCAACATGACCGTTGGATTGCTCAGGATTGACATCTGAGTCCGTGTACGCAGGTTCCAGTCCTGGTTTCCATTTGCCAGGGCAAACCCATTGAGGGGTTACCCCATTTTTGACTCACTCCTGATCCAAAGAAAAGGTGTACATCCCTCTTTCTGCACAATGTGTGGTGTACCCTTGCGGCTTAGTTTGCTTTGTTTGAAGTGGGCTATAAGAACAAGTGCCTTTTTTCAAAATGATAAAACAACAAAAACACATGTGCTGAGCCAAACCATGACGTCAAGACCTTCCGGTGGTCTTCGCCTAAGAAAAAGTGCTTAGGGGCTGGTAGGGCGCCTCTCTGAAACCGGAGAGGGCGACAGCGGGCCGGAAACGTGCTGGGCTTCCTCATGAAAAACGCGCAGCTTCTGCATCAGTCGGTCAAATCGGATAAATGTTCAAGTCAAACCCAAAACCCGGGAAAGTTGGGTTGGGATTTGGACAGTCCCAACCAGAAATCAGTCGGTGCCGATATCCGCCTTCTTACTTCTGCAGATGTTGGGTAGATCATTTCCATGGTTTGCCTTTTCCACCGTTTGGGGGATACAAGTGCGCAGCGCCCCCTAGTGTAGAAACCCTCTTCAAGGGAGGCTGTTCAGAAATCAGAAAAGGCAACCCCTGAATTTGATACAGGTACCAACTCACAAGAAAAGGTCCCACCCAGTTCCTGGCCATTGCTAACTTGTGGTTTCCCTGGTTATCTCGGTTGCTTTCTGCTCCCCTGCCTAAAAGTCTAACTTTTAGGGGTTCAATGGAAAACCCATTGGTTGGCAAAAAAAAATAAAGTCCTACATCCAAGCAAAATCCAGCAAAGTTATCCATCATCATGTTCAGTGGACCTTTTGATCAACACCCAAATGGTTTCCAGCTATCGTCAAAATTTAACCACCAGGGGATATTGATCAACCCCCATTTCGGAGACCGGTTTCCTGCCTGTCAAAAAGGGCGTTTTCGGTGTCAATCCAAAAGGCTCTACGGAACACACCCATGTGACAATGTGGGTGGTGTCCAAGAATATGGGGGCAGTGGGTGATGCTGAAAAAATGGAAACCCACCACTGTTGAACGGGGTCCCTCAGTGTATGGCGCACGCATGTGAGTCGCAATCAAAACCTTGTACTAAAATGGTCTACCCAGAGCCATGTACAGGATTCAGAAGGCGGCCGCAGCTATTTATGGTTGGGATCGTCCCTTACTAACCTTCATCTGCCCGGGGTTTGAGCAAGTGGCTCATGTGTTGTCTACCTTTGGGTGAGTTTGCTTGGCTTGCAGTGGACTGATATAAGAGAAAGTGCTGGGCAGGTCCTATTTGATTCCCCGCAAGCCGACAGGAGCAGGCCACTGAAAATGGCGGACTCGATGGCGATGGCACGTGGTGAAATCCTGAATGTTGCCCGAAGAGGGTGTTGCCAGGCTGGTGTTCGGCTGATTTGCGCGTTTTGTGGAAGACACTGCCAGCCAAAAAGGCAAACCTGACAATGATCCTAAAGCAAGTCATCAACTACAAAACTAGCCGCAAGCTTGGCAAACCTTGGCCAACAAGAAGACACACTAAATCCCACCCCAATTCAGCCAAACATCATCCAAATGCTGCCTCCACCAATTTAAAAGTCCAATCCCCACTCTAGCTGACCTCCGAACCAGCCAGAACCTTGCCCCTGAGCAACCTCAAGAAAATTGCGAAAGTATTCCTAAAAGTCATCTCACTTGATCCAACCAACCCAACCACCCACCAACCAACCAACCAACCATGTCTGCCAGCGCCACGCCTGTGCCAGGGCAATAGGAACAAAACAAACTCAAGTCGACGCGTCGAGCCTCCAGCTCCTCTCGCTTGGCCGACGCATCCTTTGCGTGGCGCCTCAGCATCCATGCAAAACCCGGTTGAACCTTCTGCCGGCTTGGGCCTCTCGAGTGGTTAAGCTTGGCGTTGAGCTAGGCCTGGTGAATAGAAGGGTGCACTTGTTTGTATGTGATGCGTATAACAGATATACGCAGGCACACGCAACCAAGCAATGGTTCGTGGCAGAAAGGCAACCTAAAGATATTACCAAGCAACCAAACGACCGGCAACCAGCACCTCCCGACCCTAGCAATTAAAACCCGGCATCGGTAGAACCCAGGGTGACTTGTGGTGCCAAAGTGGCTGAAAGTGGCAGGCCCCTCCAAGCACCCGCCCAGTCCCAGGTCAACGTAGAGTGCCCACAAACTGGACCCGCTGCCCTTTGGCTTCCCAAAGAAAACCAACCTGAATAGGCCACCCTCAAAGATACATATAATATAGAGCTTTTCTGTTGCCGAGGAAAAAAGGGAGTCCAAGAGGGGGTCACTGGATTCCTCGTCAACAGTTGCAGCTTGCTGGTGGTGTCCAACAAAAAAAATGGTCCAAAAAGGTTAAGCTCGGGACCCCTGTCGAAGATGGGCCTCAAAATGGACCACCTGCATTGGCTCCCGTTCTGTCGCAAGCGTCGCCAGGTTCATCGGATCAAGGCGCCAGAAGAGGCAGCCTGCCACAACGTAGAGTACCAAGCCCAGAGTGTAAAACACCTGAGGCGAGGGTTGAGAGGCCAACCAACCCACCAACCAGCCAAGCCAGCCAGCCAAGCCAGCCAGCCAAGTCAGCCAGCCAGCCAGCCAGCCAGCCAACCAACTGACCAAGCAACAGACCAACCAACTGCAACTCACCGAACCGACCAAACAAACAAACAACCAGCCAAACCCAGCAAGCTACAGGCCTGTAAACAACTCCCGCACTACAGGGGAACAACCCAAGAGAGAAGGCATGCTGGGGCATGGCGGGAGCGGAGCACAACTCAAACTGTGCTGGGCTTGGTAGACCTTCTACAATCTAACAAGTCATAAATCACACATCGAAATTAGATTGCAATAGAAATGCATGGCATCGCGCTGTACAGCTTTGCTCTGACCAAGAGTTGCAGCAATCTAAAGGTCTAATGCTGTCTCGTGGAACATCTTTCTGATATGCAAGCGGAGCTGGTACAGTTTGGGATCTAAGTCGCCATGAATACGAACATGATTATGGTGTCTTTGTGTTGAAACGTCCATACTGTAGCTTTGGCACACAAGGGCTACATGGTTGCCATATGCTGCAACTAGCATTGTAGACTTGATGCGCTGCCTGCCTTCGCAGCACATTTATTGTTCAATTTCGACGAACGTTTACACGGTGAGAAACATTAAAACGCATACATCGCGTTCTGCTGGCTCCACATATCTTGTGTGAAGGACAATCTCTCTGGAGATAAGCCATGATCGAAAGACTCCGAAAACCAATGGCCATCGGAAAAGGGTATAGCACGCCAAGCCATGTTTGAATAATTTGAAAGGAGGGTGAATGATGCTACTGCAGCAACAATGCATACCTATCCAGTGTCTCCCGAATTTGCGCTGATTGATCAACCTGGTTGATAAATTGGTGGGGTGTGCTGCTTCAGCCATCGAGAAAAAACATTGGAAGCGTCGAAGCGACCGATCCGGTTCTGGACGGACTTTCGAGGAGTCATTGAGTTGCGAATCTGATCGCTCGCCAAAGAGTTCTTGTTTTCTCACGTTTAATGTTGAACAGGGATCCTTACATTACACACCTGAACATTGCCTTGTAAATGGTGGTTTCCCTTTATTTTGCTGTTGAAAAAGCCATGTTTCAAATGTTTGCAAAATGGCCATCTTTTAAGGAGCCCTGTTGAAGACGGCACGAATCACTCCAGTTTCCAGATCCCAGGGTTGGTTTCCTAAGGCGGGGATCTCGGGGGAGGGTTCGATGGATTTGGGCTGGGTTTTGGGTGGGTTTTGCCGGGCCAGAGGCCCAAAGCACAAGAACTCTTCGCCTCAAGCCCGGGATTTCGATCATGTCTCGAACGTTGGGCAGTGGTCAAAACGCGGGTAACCCCAAAACAGCTAGGTAAATCAATGGCAAGAGCCATGGACTAAAATCCTGGCGTCCAATTGGCGCATTCATCCCATTTGCTCATCCAAACCCTGGATTAGTTTTTCGGGTTTTACCAAACACTCTTGGAAAAAGCCTATCCCCGGCGGCATGCCATGGCCTGAAAATCCGCGCGGCCCAAAAAAAATAAAAAAAAATAATAACATAATAATAATAATAATAATAATAATAATAATAATAATAATAATAATAATAATAATAATAATAATAATAATAATAATAATAATAATAATAATAATAATAATAATAATAATAATAATGTGGTTCCTTCCTCCCATCCCAATGGCCCAACTCATCCCAAGGCGCGGCCATGGTGAGCCCAAGGCCCCAGTTCTTCAGGTCCATACCCTGCTGGATCTTCTTGGGCGCCACCATCTTGGCCTCCAAGCCTCGGCTCAAGCGAGCTCGCGCGCTCGCTCAAGCTCGCGAGGCGTGGGTATTGGCGCCGGCGAGAGGCAGGCTCGCATCTCTACATGTGTATATAAACACAAATAGGCGTGTATATATATATATATACAAATAAATGTGGATATGGATATATACACATGCGTATATACGTATATATATACACATATTATATGCTATATATGTGCCCAGCACCCCCGCCAAAAACAAAACTTCTCCACAAAAAGAACCTGCCCGATATCTACTTGCTTGCGGTTTTAGTGGAAAAGGCTGAACAACCATCTGCTAATTCTGGTGCCTAGCGTATATGTATCACTCCTCATGAGTCATGGGAGAGGCTTAGCCTCGAAGGACAGCGGACAAAGCTTTGAGAGTGCCTTTCTCCCTCCCTCCCTCCCTCCCTCCCTTCCTCCCTCCCTCCCTCCCTCCCTCCCTTCCTTCCTTCCTTCCTTCCGTCCCTCCCTCCCTCCCCCTTCCCCTTCCCCTTCCCCTTCCCCTTCCCCTTCCCCTTCCCTTTCCCTGTCCCTTTCCCTTTCCCTTTCCCCTTTCCCCTTTCCCCTTCACTTCCCTTCCCTTCCCTTCCTTCCTTCCTTCCTTCTTTCCTTCCTTCTCCCTCCCCCTTCCCCTTCCCCTTCCCTTTCCCTGTCCCTTTCCCTTTCCCTTTCCCTTTCCCCTTTCCTTCCCTCCCTTCCCTTCCTTCCTTCCTCCCTCCCTCCCTCCCTCCCTTCCTCCCTCCCTCCCTCCCTCCCTCCCTCTCCCTCCCTCTCTTCCTCCCTCCCTCCCTCCCTCCCTCCCTCCCTCCCTTCCTTCCTTCCTTCCTTGTTTTTCTTCCCTTCCTTCCTAGCGCCCCAAGCGCTGCTTGCTGCCTGGGGGCGCATCACCCCGTCGGAGCTGCCCCCACTGACAGGGGGGATGACCAGCTCATCAAAGGTGTTGGCACAGGCCATGGGGCCTCGCGCGCGTTCGTTCGGAGAACCTCTTCCAACCTCCAGGCTCCTCATGGGTGAGGGGCATCTTTCTTCGGGGTACCAAGAAAAAAAGGAGGAGTTTTGTTTTTGGGTTTCCTGTTGCTCCACGAGGCAGGGGCATCTTATTCGGGCTACCAAGACAAAAAGGGACTTTCCTTGCGGCTTCCCGTGAAAAGCCGCAAAACGGGGTACCACACCCAGATGAGAATAGTGAGCAGTCATAGGTTAGAGCGCTGGAGACAATGACATCGCTGATTTAACCTGAGCCACTTCCCTTGGTGTGGGCTGGGTTTCGGGATTTCTGTCAACATCGAAAAGGATTTGGGGTATCCGAAAATGATCCTTCCAGCAAAAGCCCCAGAAGCTTGAATTCGCCGAAGGCTCACCTGATGTTGTTCGGGCGGTTCTCTAGCAACAAGAGTCTACCCAAACATGCCCACGAATTATGCTGACTGTAACATGCCTACCCCCCGGGACCACGCCACTGCTTTTGACCGAAGTTGCCTTAAAAGCGATTCGATGTCTTACTGGCATTGCCCAAAAGTAGGTCATGCAAGTTCTGCTTCTGGTCAACTCAATTGCTCGCCCGCATCGACCAAACGATATGGCCGAATTGGCTGGTGTTCCCGCGCGATTCGGGTTTGAGCAGGTCATAGGCCCGAATCAAGGCCGAGAGGTGCAGTCAGAGGGCTCCCTACTTGAAAATTCAACCGGCTCCAGCTCCCAGTTGACCACCGGCCGCCGCCTGCCATTCACCAAAGGTGGCAAGACGAAACGAGATCCCCCGTTTCCAGATGTTCATCCCGGTCAAAATTATGGGCAAACGCCGCTACCAGGGGCCCGAATTAAAGACATCGACTGGAGGCAGACATCCGCCGCTCGGCGCGCCTATCTTGGGGTTGGGGCCCAGGTTGCCAATCATCATGCCGCAGTCCTTCCTTGGTTGCGAGCAACAAGGCGTCCGATTGAAGAGGCGAGACACGACCCAGATAGACGCCAAGGCCAACACAGACCCAAAGACAAAGTCAACAGCAATATGGAATACGAGTCACGCCTGCTTCGCTTCAGTGACACATGGCATGATCTACCTAACAAAAGTTGGAAAATGGTTCGCCCGAAACACATCAATGAGTAAGTCCCCCTGGTTTTGGGAAAATTATTCAGAGCTCCTCCCATATCCCTTGGTTGCTGTTGGGGGTTTGGTGGAAAACCCCTTGATTTCCAAAAAGGTTCCTTGATTTCCCAAAAAGTTAAAGTCTAAAGATCCAACCCGCCAATAGCAGTCAAGAGGACTCCCCCCCAAACAGGAGAGCCTCACGCCCACGACCTCGCGCAATCAAAACGCGCGCGCAAGCGCGACAAATTCGACGACGCGAGAGGCGAGGGGCACGAAGTCCTGCGCCACCTGAGCGCCGCCCCCGAAGAGGAGCATCACATCCACCTCCAACCTGCGGTCAGGCACTCAGAGGTTCGAAGCCGAGAGACGAAAAACCCGGGGGGGGGGGGGACATCCGGGGCGGGTGGGGGGTTGTTGGGTCATTTCATGTGGATGGCTCAGGAGACCTGTATAGAACTGGTGGAACCTTTTTCTGGATGCATGTTGGGTAATGTTGACCCCAACCAACCAGTTTAGCTTCATAGGGGGGGGTGGCCCCTCCAAAAGTAGAGTGATTCCCCGCATTTCATCCAGAAAGAACCCACTCCCCTTACTAATAAACTGGGTTGATTACTATGGGGTCAACACTATATATTGTGGATGGCCCAGGATACCTTATGGTCCCCCTATATGGTGAGAATTGGCCAGGTGATAAAGTGGACCATCCTGACCCTGGGATTCAAACCACCATTAAAACATTGGGCCTCATATAACCACCGTTGTTTGCCCATCAGGTTGCAAAAACAAAGCAAAAAACATGAACGAGGCCCCCAAAACTCTCCGGGTTCCGCTCACCGGCTTCGACCCAAAGAAGCCCCAAAAAAAAAAACACAAAAGTGTCCACCGCGCGCCCATCTCCCACCCCCAAAAACCGCGCGCCCATGTCCCACGGCCGCTGGCCGCTGGCCTCTGCCTCAGCTCCAGGCGCAAGGGCAGCTGGCCCCCGGAGAAGAGCAGGTCCCCCGCCAGCGAGGAGAGCCTCGATCGACCCGCTGGGCCCACGTGAGTCACTGGCTCAAGACGCGGGGTTAAGATGGTCGTAATCCCAGATACTCCCCACACGGGACAGTTGCCCATGGTCAAAACTGGGGGCCCTACATGGGTCAAAATCAAACCCGATATTAAAATGGTTGACCCAGAACCATGCTTACAGAAACAAGAAGGCGGAGATCCGCTGCTATTTATGGCCAGGGGATTGTCCCCTACTATCCTTCATCTACCCGGGTTTTGATTGTGGCTCACGTGGGATGGATTGGCAACATGTGCGCAGTGGAAAACCCTGGGCTGTCCGTTTTCAGATCCCCCGGTAAAGGTTTGACTAACTTTTCGTGGGTCAGATGGAAGCTACCACGAAACACTAAAAGGCTAACAAGCTAAGGAACCGGATGGCTGGGAGCCACCAAGAAACCTGGGATACACCCCCTTCAGGAGTTGGATCCACAGCCAGGAACCTGGGCTGAGTTTAAAACCAAGAGCAAGGCTCGCCCTCTGCAAGAATCAGCACACAGAAACCTAGATGGTCCCTAGTATGATACACCCGCTGCAACATACTCACCATCATGTATGCCGCCATGGCATGATCTACAATATTCTACAATTGTTTGAAAGGCAATTGCCTGCCGGCCCCCCCCCAAAAAAAAGAAAAAAAAAAGAAGATAAAAACACGGTGCCTCTGATTTCCCTCAAAGCCAGCCCTCAAAAAGTCGGGGATCCACACAAACAAGTCAGCAAGTGGTGCGGGCAAGCGGCAGCTTGGCGTTGATGGTGGTGTTCGCCTTAACCCAGGTGGATCCATTCCCATCCTGAGACACGGGGCAAACAAAAAGAAAAAACAGGCTGGAGGCCGGCATGTTCGATCCATTGCCCCTTGAGGTGTCAAGGGAGGCTAGGGTGGAGGGGGAGGTCCAACAAGCCTTTGACCCGTTACGGCAAGGCTAAAAGTTGAAAAGCAGTTGGAGGGGTCGAAGGTTTTAACCCATGATCCCATGCCCATGAAAGGACAGGATGCAAGGATCAAAGGAAAGTGCCTTCTTGCGAACTTGTCAGGGTGTCCCAAGGCGGTTCAAATCAGCTCGCTTCGTGTTTCCTCAAACAGCAACTCGCCGGATACGCCTCTCAGGGGCTTTATCTCCCCAGTGACCCAAAATGTACCTCCTATGAACAGGACGGGTTCATTACCCCGGTGTCGACCCTCCAAGCCAACGGAAACGAAAGAAGGTCCCGACCTCCAAACGCACCTCGATTGGGGGTCCCCTCACGGGGAGAAGCAGTGGTTTTCAGGTACACCTGGCTGACTACGCGGCAATGAAGCGTTGCATGGGAGAGCAAATGCAGGTAACACAGGTGCTGAAGATTTCTCTGACCTCAGAAAACCAAGAATTAAACCTTGTAGGACATACTGATACCAGAAGTAGCTCGTCTGATCTACTCGCCAACGCCAGAACTAGACTCTGCATTGCCCGATCCCACAGGGACGTGATTAGGCCAACTAACTAGATGCGTCAACACGAGGATGCCCCGCCTAGGCTCCAAATGAAACGCAATGGAAAAGGAAAGCAGAGGGGGAACAGAAGTGTACCGAAAGGAACCAAGCCAAAAGTAAGCCAAACATAAACTCAACGAAAAGAAACGCTAAACCGGACCCAAAGCGATAAAACGGAAAACAATCATGTGGCTGTGGCTGTGGGTCAAAACCCTGTACCCCTGGTGAACATCAAAATAAGTGGCAAATGGATGTTCATCCACCCGAAAATGGCTCGCCATAGGTTCTGCCCCATGGCCATGTGAGGCGTAACCGCCAACCATCCGCCTACCGCCTACTTGAAGGGGCAGGGTACTTAGTAAGTGGTTAGTAACCGTGGTCATCACCCACTGAACAGAGACTTATAACCCTGGCTTTGGTGGGTTGGAATGGTTCCTAACCACTTAGCTGACGTACCAAATCCCTCGCCCCTAAGTAGCGCCCGCCTACCGCTCCGCCAGGGCTCTGCTGGGAAGTAGTTCTCCTTTCCCGGCACGTCCTGGGTGTGTCCCACCTCCCTCGGCAGCGCAGGTCGCAGACTCCCAAAGAGAAAGGAGAGAAAAGAAAAGAGAAAGCGAGAGAAACAAAGAAACCAAGGAAAAACAGAAAGCAAAAGAAGAAGGAGGAGGAAGAATTTTAAAAAGAGGAAGAACATGAAAACGAAAAGAAAAGGAAAGAAAGAAACAAATAAATCTAAAAAATGTGTATATATATATATATATTTATAGCGGTGGATTGGCGTTCGGTCTTTTGGGGGCACGGCGCAAATCCAAAAAGAATCGAGAAGGCACACCCGCGGCAAACTGCCCCTTGGAAGGGCCAGCCCTGCAGCCATCAAGCTCAAACAATCAGGCGCGAACAAAAAAAGAAGCGCCCCAGCGCCAGAAAAATACCGGCGCGTTCTGCAAGGATCAAAGGGCGATCCTTCAGTGCGACGCAGGGCGTTTTCCGTTTTTTTCGTTTCCATTCGGATTTCTTGGAAACTGGCTCCGTGCTGGAGAAACGCAAACAATGCCTGACAAGCGGGCAGTGGGCAGACCTGGATTTTGCTCTTAGAAACTCTGGCCGAGTCGCGTCATGGATCGGCCGATGTAGACAGTACCCGGCTCGGTCCACTCGAAGCCTCGCAAATTTGGCGTGGCGTGCTGCGCTGTTGGGAAGTTGCCCAGTGGATTTCCATGGGAAAAACGGGCATCCTTATTTGGGTTTGGTTCAGCCCAAAGGGCACCCCTTCCCAAAAAGAAACTAGGTCCTCCAGTAGAGAGGTTAGAAGAAAGGCACCAACTTTTTCTGTAGTCTAATTTAGTAGGGGAACCCTCCCCCAAAAAAGAAACGGTAAAAGGGCACTACTGGGGAGACCCAGAAAAAGGAAACGAGGGCGCCGCTGAGCAAGTGGGGTGAGGGGTGTCAGCAGGGCAACGAAACCAACTCTTTAGAGCGGGGGTGGAGCCTTTTTTTACTTCATCTTTAATTCCCACAGCTGGCAGGCGCAGTTCCACCCCCACCCCACACCAACTGAAGAAAATCACCAATTCACAAGAGAGGGCCTAACCCCCGTCAACCAGTGGCCTGGAGTTGATCTCATTGGCATCAAAGCAAGCCCATCAAGAAAGCCATGAAATCTGAGAGCAAGAATCCAGAGCTTCAATTAGAGGGCAGAAGCCGTTTCATACAGTCGGAGCAACATCAAGCCCATCCATTTCAAGGCAGATCCGCTTTAGCTGCTATTCAATCACCTTGCGAAGAAGCCGGGTCAGCAAAAATGCTGGAGGACAAAGAACGGAAGATTGGGGGGGGGGGGGGGTTCAAACCGAATGCAAAACTGCTCATGGGCACTGAGCCGACCCCCGCCACAGCAAGTCAACACCTTAGAGAGCGAAACCTCTCGGAACTGACTTGCTGGTGCTTAGTAGGGCGAAACCAAATCGAATGGATGGCTTTTCTCGGAATCATCCCATGTCTCATTCCCTGCATCTCTCCCACCCCTTTCGCATTGTTTTTCGAGACGCCTATGGAGTAGGGGTTCGGGTTCTGGCACTTCATCTCGATGATGAGGTCCTCGGAACCCACGAAAACCGGCGAAACCCGAAAACCGGTGCTCTGGGAGGTGTTCCGGGCCTGAAAGAGGACCCGTGGAACCGCCAGAAACACGGGTTGACCCGTGTTTTTTTCCGAGCCAAAGCCTAGAACCACCGGGCTCGCTTTGGCCAGTGAAGGGCACCTGTCGGTCACAAGAAAAGCTCTGCGTCAGGGTGCCGATGCGCACAAAAAGGAACAGAGATTGGCCGGGGCTTAGATCTGCAGATCTGCAAGCCTCGTAGCGACCTGGAACTAGCACTCCAGGTAGCCTTTGAACCAGAGAGGAGACTCCCATCCCTGCTGTTGCTGGCAATGAACAAGGGAAACTAGAGAACGCCGAACAGCCCAACCCAACCCCAACCCCAAACCAACTCGACCCAAAACGACTTCGATCCCAGGAACAAAGCTGGTGGCGGAGATCAGAGGCACACCCACGTGCAAGTTCTGCATCTGCGTGGACCCGTGGCGGCACTCGATGGTGCTGTACAAAGGCGTCAGCCGCACGTAGATGCCTCGTGAGATACGAAGATCCGCGGACCGGCTTGAAATAAAAAGAAATAGGGTTGCTTAAACAGGGCTTGCTTGGGAACAAAAAAAATGCCTGGTCCCACCTTAGAAATTAATTGGGGGCTGGCGACATTTGGGGAGAGCCGGAGGGCTTACACGATGGCTTTGTTCACAGTGGTTCTCCAGCGGCAGACAGCCTTGAAAAGCTCTTCTTTTTTTTGGTATTCTGCCTTCTCAATCTGCTGGCTTGAAAACGTGCTTGAGCTGTTCTCCCCCAACAGCAACTGGCGCCAAGCCTCAGTTTCTTTTCCTGGAGCTTCCCGGCTGGTTGCGGGTCCCGATACTCTTTGCCCAAGTGATCGATCACAAAACCCTCCAAATCAACTGGGACCTGAGCCCTGTTTCAGAGGAACCCCTAGCTTTCGGGAGAGCAGACAGAGCGGCATGGCCTCAAAGTGCAAGACTCCCTCTGATTGCTTGATCATCTACCCCCACAGTTCACGCAAGAAGACAACAGTCCTTTGAATAAAGAATAGATGGCACTTGTAAATGATTAAAATCGTAAACAAAAAGTGGAACCCATCTATGCTCTACCAAACTGACCTAAAAGGAGGACACCGTTGGTTCTTTGCATATGCGGCAACCGTTCATGCTTCAGCTCGGCCCTTGGCTTTCACGCTCCAGGACACCTACGTAAGAGGTCAAAATCTCGTAGGCAGGTGCTGCTTTTCGGAGAACCAAAATGCCGAAGCAGTCTCGGCCTTAACGAGAAAAAGGCGCAAGGACCTAAAAAATTGCACGGGCCCCGCAACCTGCGAACCGAACCTTCATGGAGATGGCGACGGCCGTTCAAATATTCACCCAGTTGCGAGTTCGTGCAAGAAAAAAGTCTGGCGCCGGATATCTATGGTGGCTCCTGTAAGAAGAATCATGCTGACTCATGTTCAACCCCGGCTTCAGAAACCTCTGTCAATTAATATGGGGGTTGGTTTTAGTGGAGGTCCAGACCACTTTTGGACGTATTGTCCAAAACCACCCCCAGATTAACAGTGTGCAGTGGCTTCCGACCAAAAGCAAAAGGGGGCCTTCAACCATGGCACAGGGCACAAAATGGGAAGTGGCCTCTTCGACTTCCCTTTGGGCGTGTCTTTTTTTCGGGGACTCCCCTCCCAAAAAACACACACACACAAACGGTGGTCGTCTGTTTGGGTGTCCTTTCAAAACCAGCCAAGGGGTCCCAAAAAAGACGACAAGCCACCCACGTAACGTAGGATCGAGGGAAAATGATTTGCGTGGCGAGGCAGTGATTGCCGTTCCCACCCCCGGCAGTGGGCACAGCTCAGCCGGGTGGCTGGTTGCACATGCTGCTCCAAAGATGCAGACCGTGCCTGTCATGGCTTCTAGCTTTGAGTCCTTATGTTGGCGCACCT